AAAAAAAAAAAGAACCAAAAAAAAAGAACAAAAAAAAAAAGAAACAAAAATACAAAACAAAACAAAAAAATTACAATAATTAAAAATTTTTTTCTTTTTTTAATATCTATTTAGAACATCTTCATCGTTTGCAATTTAAGAGTCTCTATTATTGGCGAATATTGAGCTATAACTTTAGAAATAGAAAAATGTAAAGCATCCTTTATCATCTCACTCTGTGCTTTTAATAACTTCATTTGTAACTCTAGAATTTTTTGTCTTTCTAACTTTTCAGAAATATCTCTTTTTTTCTGCATTTGCATTACTAGTTCGTCAACCGTGGGATAACTTTTTAAAAAAAAAAAAAAATTTATTTTACACATTTATATATATATATATATATATATATATATATATATATATATATACAAGTTACCTATTATCTGTTTGACTAATCTTAACATTTAAAATGTTTCCTGTATCTTCATTCTCTTCATATTCTATAAAAGATGATTGATTTTGAAAATTTTCCTAAAAAAAAAAAATAAATATAAATATCATGTTTCATTGAAATATTATTAAAAATTATTAAAATAATAGATAAATATATGAAATACTTTTATTTTTTGTGTTTCTTCTCTTTTTTCAAGTTCTTTCAGTTCTTTTTCTAATGTTCTATGAACAACCTATTTAAAAAAATATATATATATATATATATATTTATATATATAACTAATATATATAATAAAAAAGAACATTAATAGATATAACTTTTTTATCAACTAAAAATGGATTCAATTGTAACTGTATTTGTTTCTCTAGTTCCAAAATTGTTATTTCAGTCAAAATGCTAAGTTCAGATATAGCTGTTTCAAACATCTTGAAAAAAAAAAAAAAAAAAAAAGACATTTTTTTATATTTGTTTTTATCTAATTTTTTTTTTTTTTTTATAATTTAAATAAAAGATTCATAACCATAACTTCTTCATCTGTTCTATATTGTTCTATTTCTTCAATTTTTTCTTTTATAGATACATCAGGTTCACTTATTTCAGATAACTACAAAATTAAAAATTTCTCAAATTTTGTTATAATCCTCTAATTCTATAATAATAATTTTTTTTTTATTATTATATTAACTTTTTTAATAACATTTTTGAGTATTATATTTAATTTTCTTTATTATTATTTTTAACAATATATATACGTACTGATATTTTTACAGAAGGAATAGTTTTGTTTAAATAGTTTTTCTCTAAAAAAGAAGTGTGGACTCGAAGTTCTGGTGGTGGTAAAGGTCCATTTTTTCCTTCATAATTCTTTTCCTTTTTTTTTAAATCATTTTTTTCATCTCCGATTTCTTTAATTTTTCTCAAATTTTCTTTTTTTAACATTTTAACTGAATTAGAAATAACTGAACCTAGCATATTAGGATCATTAAAAATACTTAAAGATTTTTCAACTGTATCTTTTATTTTTATTTTAGAAATTGATAATGATTTATTATATTCATCTTCTAATTTTTGCATCATCCCCTACACATTTTTAAGAATTGAAATCATTTTTTTAATTTATTTTGAATATATATATATATATATATATTTTTTTTTTTTTTTTTTTTTTTTTTTTTTTTTTTACTTCTTCTAGTTTTAATCTAGAAGATTCTAAAATTTTAATCTCTGCAGCAACTTGTGGTAAAGGCTATATTAAAAAAGTAATTGGATAATTTTAAAAAAAAAAATATACTAATATTTAAAAAAGTTATATCTACTAAGAAAAAAAAATATGTATATTTATTACCTCACTTTTTTGCTACTTCTATTAATTATTCTTTTATTATTTATATTTTTACAATTTTAATATAATATATATTTCATTTAATTTCTAATATTCTATATTTTTACTATTATATCTCATATGTATATATATATATATATATATATTTTATATTTTTTATTTATTTATTTTATTTTTTTTTTTTTTATTTTTACATTTTCTGGTGCAGTTAATTTAACTTCTATTGATGGTAATGATTTCGAATTATATTCAAAGTCTATTGGCCACCCTAAGTTTTGCTAATAAAAATAATAAATGAAATAGATAATTGTGTATATCTAAATAAAGAAATTTACATTTCCTTTTTTTCTTTTTTGTTTTCTAATGTACTTCATCAGATAAAATTAACTGAATAATACAAACAACCAATATAACAAAAAGAAAAAGAAAGTTTAATTTAAACATTTTTTTTTTTTTTTTTTTTAATGTTATATTTTATTTAGTAAAAAGACATAAAAATTATATGCTATACTTTTTTCTTTTTATTTTTTATTGTTTTATATTCTAATAAAGAATATTCTAATATTAAGAGTTTATTCGTATAAAAAAAAATATCAATAGAAAAAAAAAAAAAGTATTATGAAAAAACAAATAATTATATAAAAAAATTACATTAATAAATCAAAAGGAATATTATTAAAATATGAATACCAGACAGAAATGTATATACACTAAAAATTTTTATTATTATAAAAAAAAAAGCCATTCAAAAAAAAAAAAAAATTTAATTATTCTATATAAGATGGGAAAATGTTTTAACAAATATTCAATTAATATATATTATATTTCAAAATTATATATTCAGAATTTTACTAATAACACAAGAAAGAAAATAAAAATATATCTACTTTCCTATTATAAATCTTATGTACGTAATGACAAAAAAAAAAAGGAAAAAAAGAAAATTTTTTTTATCAAGTGTTAAAATACAAATATAATCTTTTATTTTATATTTATATAATAAAAATTTTAAAAAATAAAAAACTAGAAATATTAAATAATGAGCAATTCTTTATCTATTTAGTTACTTCTAATTAATAATTCAGCTAGTTTTATATGCAAGATATTTAGAAATATTTATTTTTCTGTATACATTATTTATCATTTTTTCTTTGTATGTTATGTATAATTCACTTTTTTTTATTTTTAATATTTTCTTCAAATATTTGTCTTAGTTTGATAAAATTAACGATTATTAATTACTAACTTTTTTCCCATTTTAATGTTGTGTTTTTTTAATACATTCAATAATTCCATTATAGGATTTAATCCCTTTTCTTTTTTTTAGTTATTTTTATCAATTTTCGATTTCACTTTTACTTCCATCAGTTTCTTCATCATCTTCATCACTTTTACTTTCATTATCTTCCTCATCACTATTACTTTCTGTATCATCTTCATCACTATTACTTTCTACATCATTTTCATCATTTTTGCCTTTTTTATCTTCTTCATCAACTTTATTTTCTTTATCATTCTCATCACTCTTACTTTCTTTATCTTCCTCACCACTTTCACTTTCTTTATCATCTTCATTACTTTCACTTTCTTTATCATCTTCATCACTTTTGCTTTCTTTATCATCTTCATTACTTTTATTTTCTTTATTTTCTTCATCACTTTCACTTTCTTTATCTTCCTCATCACCTATACTTTCATTATCTTCCTCATCACTATTACTTTCTTTATCTTCTCCTTTATTTTTATCTTCTTTATCATCTTCATTACCTTTATTTTCTTTATCACTTTCACTTTCTTTATTTTCTTCATCACTTATACTTTCATTATCTTCTTCATCACTTTTACTTTCTTTATCATCTTCATTACTTTTGCTTTCTATATCATCTTCATCACTTTTATTTTCTTTATCATCTTCATTACTTTTATTTTCTTTATCATCTTCATCACTTTTATTTTCTTTATTTTCTTCATCACTTTCACTTTCTTTATTTTCTTCATCACTTTTATTTTCTTTATTTTCTTCATCACTTTCACTTTCTTTATCTTCCTCATCACTTTTACTTTCTTTATCTTCCTCATCACTTATACTTTCATTATCTTCCTCATCACTATTACTTTCTTTATCTTCTTCATCACTTTTATTTTCTTTATCTTCTCCTTTATTTTTATCTTCTTTATCTTCTTCATCACTTTTGCTTTCTTTATCATCTTCATTACTTTTATTTTCTTTATCTTCCTTATCTCTCATATTTTCTTTATTATCATTACCACTTTTACTTTCTTTATCTTTTTCGTAACTCCCAATTTCTACCTCATCTAGATCACTTTTACATTTTTTATCATTTACATGACTTTTACTTTCTATATCACCTTTATCAATCTTTCTTTCTTTATCATCTTCATCACTTCTATTTTCTACATCATCCTCATTACTCTTATCTTCTTTATCATTCTTACTTTCTTCATCATCTTTACCACTTTTGTACTTGAAATATTCTTCATTTATTTTAGTTTTACACTTATTTTTATCTATTTCACTTTTATTATCATTTAGTTGTCTTTCTGTACATTTGTTATATCTATATTTATCATTTGAATTCACATTTTTTTCATCTCTATTTTGTATTTTATCGTTTTCTTTAAAAAAACCAATACATTTATCATCACTATTCTTTAAAGATTTTTCTTCACTATTTAATTTATTCGTACATTTTTTAATAATCTCATCGAATTCATAATTGTAATTTTCTGTTTTTTTATTATTTTTACCATATGTTATTGTATTTTCATAAGTATTTCCTATCTTTTTATAATCATACAAATTATAATTTGTATCATTTTTATTAAAGGAAAAATATTGCTTTAAAAAAATTTTAACAATGTTATAAAAATTTTCATATTCTATTAAATATGTCATAATTTCATTTATTAATTCCAAATATTCTAAATTTTTTTCTTTTATAATTTCACTCAAAAATAGGAATTTTTCTTTTAACTCTTTTTCTTTTTCTTCATCTTTCATTTTTACTCTATTTAAACTATTTGAGAGAACAATATTTTCTGTTTTCGAATTTTTAACTTTTTTGTTAGTATTCTTTAATTCATTACTCAAACTTTTAGTTAATATATATGGATTGAAACTACTATGTTTTTTTTCTTTAATTATTTGTTTCTCTCCGTTTTCTTTATTTTCTTCTTTTATTTTTTCATCTTCTATTTCTTCATCTTCTTTTATTTCTTCTTCTTCTTCTTCTACTATTTTTTCTTCTTTTATTTCTTCATCTTCTTCTATTTCTTCTATTTCTTCATCTTCTTTTATTTCTCCTTCTTCTATTACTTCATGTTCTTTTATTTCTTCTTCTACTTCTATTTCCTCTTTTTCTTCTTCTCCTATTTCCTCTTCTTCTTCTTCTATTTTTTCTTCTCCTATTTCCTCTTCATCTTCTTCTATTTTTTCTTCTTCTACTTCTATTTCCTCTTCTTCTTCTAATTCTATTTCCTCTTCTTCTTCTACTTCTATTTCCTCTTCTTCTTCTACTTCTATTTCCTCTTCTTCTTCTTCTATTTTTTCTTCTGCTTCCTCTATTTCTTCTTCTTCCTCCTCTATTCCTTCTTCTTCTTCTTCCTCTATTTCTTCTTCTTCTTCCTCCTCTATTCCTTTTTCTTCTTCTTCCTCTATTTCTTCTTCTTCCTCTATTTCTTCTTCTTCCTCTATTTCTTCTTCTTCTTCTTCTACTTCTATTTCTTCTTCTTCTACTTCTATTTCTTCTTCTTCTTCTACTTCTATTTCTTCTTCTTCTACTTCTCCTATTTCTTCTTCCTCTTCTTCTTCTTCAATATTTTTCTTTTTTATTTCCTTTCTTGTTTTTTCATTCACAGAGCTTTCAGAAGAAGAATATATTTTTTTTTTTCTAATAGGAGCAATAGGAAAGTTAATACTTTTTTTTTTAGAATCATTTTTAATTAGATTCAAAGGAATATCTATTTTTTTGTTTTTATTAGAATAACATGTTTTATCTATACTATATTTATTACAATTTTCATTCTTTAATTCATTTTCTTTTTTTAAGTTTTTCTTTTCTTTATGTGATAAATTAATTGTTTTATCTTTTTTTGCTATCACATCTAATTTCAAGCTTTTTTTACTATTAATAAAATCATTTAATTTTTTATTTAAAATAATCTTTTTGTGAGGTACTGATCTTTTTAAAGATTGTTCCTTCTTTTTATCTTTTAGAAAAATATTTTTTAATACATTCGTTGCATCCACATATTTGTATTCATTTTTATATTTAAATTTTGTTTTATTGTTTTCTATTTTTGCTTGTTCACTTTTTTTTTTGTCAGATTTTATCATTATATAAAAATTTAATTTACAAAAAAAAAAAAAAAAATTAAATAAAATATAATTAAAGATAAATATAATGTATAAAGTATTATATAAATATAAATAAAATTTACCAAATAAATAAATAATAATAATTACAAAGTGCAGTAAATGTCTAATATATAAAAACTTATTAAAAACTTTAATAATACAACAACAAAAAAAAAAAAAAAAAAAAAAAATAATAAATAAAATAGATAAATAAATATAAAATAATAATTAACTAATTTACAGATGTTTTAAATAATTTAATTCTATTAATACAAATACAAACACACATATATATATATGTATACATTTTTGAAATAAATTAAGCTTATAAAAAAAAAAAAAAAAAAAAAAAAAAGACAAAGAATATGCACATAATTTTTATGATATATAATAAAATTAAAATATTATTATAATTTATATTTTAAAAAAGGAATTAAATAAATAAAGATTATTTAATAATATCATATATGGAATTTTTAATAAAAGCTATTTTTTCTTCTTGATTTTGTGGTAGTAACTGTTTATACAAAAGTAGAACTTTATAATTTAACTTTTTAAATAAATTGTATCTTTGTAAAAAATATGGAGTAATGAGTAATGAATCCAAAAATGTATTTTTCTCTGATATACATTCAATTATTAAATTAAAATTTTTTATATAAATAGGTATAGTATAATTATACATTACTAAATTATTTATAATACAATTTAAATCCGTTAAAATATTTATAACTTCATTTATAAAAAGATAATCTAAATTTTTATTTTGATTTACTAAATAATTTCTATAAGATTGTAAAAAGGTTTTAACTGATATATTTAAATACTTTTTGTTAATCCATGATGAAAAATCATGAAGATATATTAATTGTATCTCCTTTATAAAATAATCATTAAAATTATTATAAGATAATATTTTGAGTAACAAATTATTTAAAAAATTATTTAAAATATATATTAGTTTCTCATCTATATTTTCTCTGGGTATTCTTATTCTTAACAAATTCAAAGTTAATTCATCAAGACTATCTTCTTTATTATTAAATGTTAATAATTTAAGTCTTTCTATTAATCTATATATATCTTCCTTTTTTAAAATAATGCTAAAAAAATATATACAATATAAAATTCTCGTTATATCTTTTAAATTATAATATGTTATGTTTTTAAAAACATAGGTAATTATTTTTTTAAGTTTTACAATATCCCTATTTCTTTTATTTTTTAATTCAATTAGTAAATCAAAAATTTTATCATTATACATATCTCTATCTTTCTTATTATATGATATATTTTTAGGCATAACCCTACTTTTATGTACTATTTTATTTTTTATACATTTCTTATTACACATTTCATCTATTTCATCACAAGTTAATATAGAAAAACCTCTTTTTATGGAATAAAAAAAGTCATATTTTTTTCTTAATCTATCGTTATATTTTAAATTCTTTACATTTACAAAAAATTTGTTATTAATTAGCAAAAATCTATTATTTTTCTTCTCATATAAAAAAAAAAAAAAAAAAAAAAAAATGAATATAGTGATATAATCAAATGATAATAAAAACATAAAAAATAAATTTTATATGAATATTAAAAATGAAGTTTTTTTATAATTTATTAATATTTTAAATAAAAAAAGAAACTTACTAGATTAAATATATTATTATAAAATAAATTTTTGTAATTCATACTATTCATAATTTTAAGGAATTTCTAAATTAAAGATAAATAACCAAGAATTAGAGGATCTTTCTGTATATTAATTAAAATTCTTATGTGTTAAACTTATTTTTTTTTCTTCTCTTATAACCCTCTAGTTTTAAATTATATTAAAATTTAATTCTTTCTTTTTTCTTTTTTCTTTTTTTTTTTTTTTTTTTTTTTTTTTTTTATTGTACACATGGCATACAAACTATTAACTCTACATTTTTTTATTTTTTTTTTTTTTTATCATTGATAAAAAAATGTTTATCTCATACTTTTTCTTTTTTTCAAAGAGAATAAACGGCATAATTTTAATTTGTACATTTTTATGATGTAATTTAAATTTTTTTAATTTAGTTTATTATTAAGAGGGAAAAAAAATGAACATTTTTTTCTGTTTTATTATGTTTTTTCTATGTAATACATATTTAATAAAAGGAGTAAAAACAAAAAGAAAATATGAATTATATTTAAATTACAAAATAAGCATTATTAACAATAAAAAAAATATAAATCGTTTAAACTGTTATAAAAAAAAAGTAAAAGCTAAAGAATTAAGGAAATTATCAACAGAAGATCTTGAAAAAGTACATTTGTTTTTTTTATTAAAATTATTGCTAAAATTATATTAAATACTTAGTATATATATATATATATATATATTTTTTTTTTTTATGAAGGAAATAACAAAGTGTAGATTAGATATTCAAATGTTTCAGCAAAAAGGTTTTTATGATATACATAATTTTAATATTCATTACGAAAAAAATGCCAGAAGAAAACTAGCACAATTGTTAACGATATACTATGAAAGATATTTAGATAACAATATAAGAATAAAAACATAATTTTTTTTTTTTTCAGATGTTTTTTCAATTCAAAAATATTTATAAGCATAAATATATATTTTTTTTTTTTTTTTATTATTATTCAAATCACATATAAATAATTTATAATAAAATGTTTCATATATATACATTTGTTAACATTGCATAATATGCATAACGGTATCATTCTATATTTGGATTTTATTTTTCATTTTTCCTTGTTAAAATTTTTTTTTTTTTTTTTTTTTTGTAGATATATTTAAATGTTTCATTAATTTGTATTACAATAATTTATCTATATTTTTTTTAAAATTATGATTCAATTATTTTTTCAAATTTTAAGTGTTGCTTTTTTTTTTTTTTTTTTTTTTTTTTTAATAAAAACATATGATTTTTTATATATTTATATTTTTTAAAACATATGAAAATTTTTATATCCATAAATCAACATTTATAAATAATTTTTAATCAAGCCTAATTTATTCTTATAAATTAAATATTTTTAATCATCAACAGAATGTTTCTTTATCTATATATTTATTAATATCTTTTCTTTTAATTAATTATAAATATATATATATATATATATATAATAGGATAATAGTATGTCAATTTTTTTATTTTTAATTGTATACAAAATATTATCAATTTTATTATAAAAAGAAATAAAAAAGAAAAAAAAAAAATGAAGAAATCATTAAAAAAAATTAAGTTAAAATTAAAAAATAAAAAAAAGAAAGGACATTTTGTTTCTTTTTATGATAGAATAAAAGAAATTAATGAAAAAGAAAAGTTGGAGGTACATAATTTATTAAATGATAATAAATACGATGTTTATTTAAATTCATATAAAATTAATAATGAATCAGATAATATAGAAGGTATGAAAAATAATACATATAATTTCATTTTTGTACATTTTGAAATATTTTTTTATTCCATTGTGTTTATTTATTTTAATATATCTAGTATTACATGTACATAGATAATTATAATTTCATTTTTTTTTTTTTTTTTTTTTTAAATTCTCATTTTATTTTATTTTATTTTATTTTTTTTTTAGATTTGAAAAAAACTAATTTTTATATAGCTTTATGCGAATACCCAAAAAATTGCTACAACAACGATTTTAAAAAATGTTGCAATGAACTATTAAAATATTCAAAAAATTTAATGGTAATTTTGCTAAACAAAGATAAGATTTTCATCACTCTCTTAAAATATATAAAGAATACTAAAATTGAAACTGATGAATGTTATTTCTATAAATTATTGGTTATATTAATAAAGGATTTAAAAGATGAAAGTAAAAAGTATATGGAACAAATATTGAAAATTTTATATGATAAAATAAATTTTAATAAACTTGACTTATTGGAAGAAATATTTAATACTTATGCGAATATATTTCGTATTATGAATAAAATAATTATTAAGAATATTGAAAAATATTTAAAATTATCCTTACCTTTATTATGCCATCGTAATAACATAATAAAAATTTTTATTGCCGATAGTTTTTCCTATTTGTTAAGAAAATTATCATTGCATGATCTTATATTATGTTTTCATAAAATATATTCTTTCTTCAATTTTGTAAAAAAAAATAAATTAAGAGATTATTCAGAAACAGTTAGCCTTTTGATGCTAGAAGCTTTAAAAGTAGACAACGAAAAATTATCCAAGAGAACATTATCTTTTCTAAAATATATAATTTATGCAATTTTTTTAAAAGAAACATATTATTGTGATGAAACAAATAATTATTATGAACATATAGATATCAATGACTTTTATTTTATAGAAAAATCAATTTTTTCCTTTTTTATAGAACTATATAATTTTATTAAAAAAGGAACGTTTGAATTTATAGAAATTTTTCTAACGTTTATTCTAAAAAGTTATTTATCATTATTTAATAAATATTATAATGATATATTATTTTCTTTTAAAGATGTAGATAATTTAAATTCGGTCACAAGAGAAAATCTTGGAAATGATTTTAAAAATATTACTTTAAATAATGCAGGAAAAATTATTTATTCAATTTATAATGATCATTTTCATATATGCAATCAAAAAAGTAATGAAGTAAAGAATGATATGTTAGATTGTAACACAAAATTAAACGATACAAAAAGTGAAGTAAATAAAGATACAAATTTTTCTAATTTTCAAGACAGTATAATTTTTATTAAAGATAAATTTTATGTATCTACAAATTTTTTTTTAAAAAAAATACTAAGTATATGGTTAGAAAAAAATAATGAAAAGAAAAATATAATAATAGAAACATCTTTAAATGAACTAAGTAAATATGCTCAAAACTTAAATAGTTTAAAATTAAATTATGTGAGTTTTTTTTATATATGGAATTTATATGATCATGCTTTTTTTTTATTAAATTATTATTCAAATTACAATGAAAATATGAGAAATATTTATATTTCGCTTGTTGAAAATTTTATGCTTATTTTAAAGGAAGATAAAAATAGCAACAATATTTTTTATAAATATTTATTATGTTTTTTTATTCTTAAAATAGATGAACTTTTAAACAAAAAAAATGTAAGCAATAATGATATATGTTATCAAATTTTTTTCAAATTTTTATTAACTAACATAGTAATGGATCATGAATATATTAACACATATATTTGTCAGAAAGAACGATATGTAACTAATGCAATCACATTTTCAGATAAACAAAGCAACTTGGAAGACAAAAATAAGGTACACATTTTAGATATAGATATATTAGAAGACAATTTTGAAAAAACAAAATGTCAAAAAGAAATTGATGACTTCTTAAATAACGTCTATTTATGCAAATTATTCATTTTTCACGATCTTATAAAAAATATACAAGAAAACAGTAATAATAAGAATATCAATATTGTTAAAGAAAAGGAATACTATGAAGTTAATAAAAAATATAATAATAATGATAATAAAAAAGAAAATAATAATTTTACGAATATTTATAATTATAATGATAGTTCTTTATTAATAGATGTAGATAAGGATTTCGAAAATTTATTTATATTTATATATGATCAAATAAAAGGATTGAATTTAATATTAAAAAACATTAACGAAAATATAAATTCTGAGATTGATACAAATATAAAAAATACATTGAACAAAGATAAACTTATTTATGTAAGATTAGTAATACTATATTTATTTGCTTTTGTTAATTTATTAGCAGAAATAAATAAGAATTTTTCTATTTATACAAAAGGTAATAAAGAAAATTATTTTTTAGAACTTTACAGCATATGTGAAAATCTTGAAAAATTAAAACAAAGCAGCTTTTTATTAAGTCATTATATAGATAACAGATATTGCGAAATTAAAATATATATAAATAGTATTATACTTGATATAATTAATATTGTAATAATTTCAGTAAATGCAAGTAATAATATAGATGATAATATACTTTCAATTAACAGTACATTTCTAATAAATTTTTTAAATAAATGGGGAAAACAGGAAATTTATTTTGTAAATTTTTTAAAAAAATTTCGAAATATAATAACAAATTTATATGAGTTTAATTACTTCAAAGATAAAACAAATGAAATATTTTTATATTTAAAGATTTTAAAAAAATTTATGATATTTTACCATACGATAAACAGAAAAGAATTGCTACAGTTAATAAGGTTACTAATATATATATATGTAGAATTGAAATCAAATAGAAGTAATTTAGATGACAATAATATATGTATAAATAGACTATATGAAAAAGTATTATATGTTTTTGATTGTTTGATATATTTAGAAAATGAACGATATTTACCAACCTATGAAAAAATATATAATTCAAAAATAATGGATATAATAAATTATTTTGATGAATTAAAAAATTTTAATTTTTTAAATGAATATTTATTTAAAATTACTACAAAAATATGTATTAATGAGTTAATTATGTTATTAAGTGTTAGTTTAATTACTATACCTAAATCTATTATTTCTTCTTTAAAGAAATTTTTTTTGAGTTACAATATCGAAAAAAAAAAAGATGAAAAAGATGATTATTATTCGGAATATTACTTTTATATATTAAATAATATATTTAAAGTTAGTAAAAAGAAATTACAAATAATTGAAGAGTTAATAGGAAAAAAAGAAAAACAAAATAACGAATTATTAAAATATAATAGTTATGAAAATGATATTACTCATAATTTTGAAAATAAAAATAAAATAGACAATTTACATATTAACAACCTCTGTGATAATGAATCAATTATTGAAAATATAAATAGATATAATTTTTTAAGAGAAGGTTTAAATGAAAATAATAATAATGATAATATTATTAATACTAAAAGTAGTTATGATATTACAAGTAAAATATTAGTTGAAAATAATAATTTAAAAAATATTGTTATATTTAATATAAAGAAGTATGAAGAAAAATTACAGTATTATTTAAATATGAAGGAAAACAGTAGTTTAATTTTTCTAACAGTCGAAGAATTAGATATAGAAAATTCTCTACAAAATATTTTAAGTACATTTGATTTATTAATAGTTCCCTTCATAAATACCGTTAATGAAACTTTTAAAATTAGAATATTAAATATTTTTACATGGATTGTCTCATATATAAATACTAAGTGTAACAATTATATATATAAATTAAAATATTATAAATTGATTAATGCATTATTTGATATTGCTAATAATATGAATAATTTATTTATTAATTATAAAAGTAACATACATAAGAAAAAAAATTTACAGAATACTAAATCTAGTTCATATCTAATTGATCAAATTAAATTATCAATTAAATTATTTATAAGTAAATTTATATATAATATGCATATTTTAAGAACTCCAAATATTATAAAATTTATTAATATTTTATGCTCATATAATGAAAAATTGAATAATTATAAAAATGATATTGAAGAAATATTATCAGAAAAAAATATCAATTTTACTAAGCTACTATTAAATATAAAAGAAGAAGATACTAATTTTATTACACCTCTGTTAATTAAAATAATTTTTTGTTTATTAAAAAATGAAATGAAAAAGGGAAGTTATAAATTAAAGAGAAATATAATTTTTTATTTATCTAGCATTTCTTGTAATAATTATTGTTATATTTTTTTATCTTCTATATATTCATTTGTAAATATTTACAAGAACAAAATTGATTATAATAATTTACTGAAATATGGAGATAAAGAAGAAGTTTTAATCAAATTTTTAAATGAAGGCCAAAATAATTTTTGTAATAATTGGAATTTCTTTTATGATATAAAAAATATTAGCATAAAAAGTGACAATGGTAATGAAAATATTTTTTTCTATGAAGATATTTTTAATCATTCTTATTGGTGTTATAATGACTTTATAATTGAAATAAAAAAGGATGCATTATTTAAAAATTTTGTTTTCAAAAAAAATTTTAATTTATTAATAGAAGTGCTAAAAATTATGAAATATAAATTAAGTTCCTATTTTGAACTCTTCTTTCATATTTTTATTACAATATCTTACTATATTAATAGCTATTATTATTTAAAAAAAAAATTAAAATTGAAAAAATTATTTTTAACAATTAGGCATATGGATGACAAAAACAAATATAATTATGATAATTTTGAAGACAATTTATCATTGTATGATAGGAAAAATAATAACCATGCTGTCATTTTAGATGAAGTAAAAATATGGGATAATGATAATAATTCAAAAATAATTCAGAACAGTTCTTTAACCAATATGAAAATTATTGAATTAAATACAAAAGACAAATATTTGAGAAATATACATAAAAAATGCATTGAAAGTATTCAATTCATTATGCTTAATTATGAAAATGTGAAATATAATTTACATAAAGCTAAAAATTTTTTTACATTTTTATTTTACAAAAATATAAAAAGTATAGGAAAAAAAAATTTATTCTTAAATATTTTATTTAATATTTGGTGTAAAAATGAAGCTTATTATGATTTTTATAATACTGTTATACCTAATTCCATCTTAGTGCTAATTAAAGTTATAAATAACAAAAAGATTACTAACAAGTTAAGTGATAACGATTGGGATAATATGATTGATAAGGTTTTTAATATTATTTTGCGTTTATGTGGCTATGATGATGACGATGAACTATTTAAAAGAAAAACTCATAAAAAAAATTATGATTTAAACTATAAAAACAATATACAACTTATGTTATCAAATGAAGAAAAAAATTGTGAATCACGCTTTTCAAATGGAATAAAAATATTAAAACCTTATATTTCTGATATTGTATCATGCATTAAGAAAGTAATTTTTAGAAGATATAAACTTTTTTTGAATAAAAGAAACAATATAATTTTAAATAAAAAAAAAATGAACGAAATAAAAATTATTAATAATAAGGAACTCCATATCTTAATTGAATTATCATCTATTAACAAGAATCAAATAAATAATATTCATATTATTAATTTAATAATTACTTTTGTATTAATGAATAGGAAGTCTCTACATTGTAAAAATATTGATTATATTAATAAAATAAAATTAATACTAATTGCTATTACAAAATTAATTATTAATATATCAAAAAATGAATACTCTATGATTAAAAGAAAAAAAAAAATCTTTAACTTTTCTTGTAACAGAAATTCATTTACCGAAAATGATCTATTATCAAAAATGAAAATAAAGGAAAAAAAAATAACAAATAAGGACCTGCACTGTTCATCTTATTTTTATTATAGTTCACGTAAATATCATATTTGCTTAAAATTAAAAATAATGTTATATGAAATTATTCAAAGATGCTATGATTTAAGCTGCAGAACTCTAGTTGGTAATCTCTTAATTATAATTGGTTGTATTTTTTTAAAAATAAGAAATATTAAAAAATATCTAGAAATTTTTAAAAGAAATGTTAGTTTATTTTTGAAGAGAACCAGTGAGTTAAATTATAATTCTAAGAATGTTTTAAAGCACATAATAAAAATACCATTAAAAACTGAAAAAATCAAAAAAAATAAGTATTATTCTTTTCTTCAAATAGCCCAAATATTCTATAGTCTAAATATTTTCAATACAAAAAGTCCTTATCAAGAATATGATTCTGATATTCAATTTTTGATACTGCTTGATCTTTGTAATATTAAATTATCTTCTAACATAATTAGTTATACACAAAATAATGGTGAACATGCAAGGGAAAATGGAATTACTAATAAAAGTGATAAGGATAAATTATATTATTCAAAATTAGTATATAAAAGAGATTGTAAAGATATTGAAAAGAAATACAAGAAGCTTACATTTGAGTATTTATTTTTAAATAGTAATAAAATATTTCTCGAAATATTAATAAGACATTGTTTATTTCTTATATTTAATGAACAAACAAATGAGATGGTAAGAGATAAATCAATTCACTTTATTTTATTTTTTACCGAATTATTAAAATATTTATTGGAATGTTATGAAAAAAAAAAGAGGTATGATAATATGATAATTGAAATTAAAATTTATATTCATTTTGTTATTAATATAATAATACCCAAAGCATTAAATGCATTAAAAAGAAATATAAATGATTTTACAAAGAACTCTCTTCAGATAACACTTATTTCTTCAAAAAATATATGCCCATATATAAAAATATTAAAATCTTTAAATATCGATACATTTTTAAATGATATAAAATATTCTCATATTAAAAATAATTTATTAAATGAAAACATAAACTCATTTAGTTTTAACACATTAAAAAGAGAAAATGAGATGGAACGTTACAGTAATAAGAAGGAAGACATGACTAATATTAAAATTCTAGAAAAGTTACTATTTTACGATTTATATGATAATATGGTTGTTCAAAATGATTCAAATAATAAAAAAAAAATAAATCATAAGGTTAATACAATAATTGAAAATATAATAGACTTAAAATCTGAAAATAATTCTGAGGGTATTAAAAAATTAACTACCATTATACCTCGCTTATCATTCTATACAATACACAAAATAGTAATTCCATTATCTTTAAATTATATTCTTCAAACAAATTCTAAAAAAGAAACATATGATAAAATTCTTAGTTTGAGTAGTATAAAATTACTGGGAATGTGTGCTGAAAAAGTATATATAAAAACTATTTACAATTTATTAACATTATTACTGTTGGAATTAAAAAAAAATTCATTCAATAAATTATACATTGAAAAAACCATTAGTCACATAGTGAGGAAATATAATTTTAAAGAATTTCAAGAACTAGAAAATGAATATGATGTAACTTCTCTACAAGTTATAAACGAGAGTGAAAAAACAAAAAATTGTAATGAAATAGGAGATATTAAAAATGAAGATGAAAGAATTATGGATAAAAATTTAAGTAATATAAACGGTAATATAGAAAATGATGGAGAAAAAAAGCGAGAATTATGTAAAGCACAAAATTTGAATGAAGAAAATAATACCAAAAAAATTAATGAAAAAAAAAGATATAATTTATTTTGCGATAAATTTATTCAAAATATACTTCCTCAGTTAAAATATTTAATGTTTGATAGAAGGTTGATACATGAAAAAAAAAAAAAAAAAAATTACATAAATGATTTAGTTGTTGATTCTAGCAATAAAGATGTAGTGGCAAAACCAGACATTATACTATCCTATTTAGTTATATTAAATAAAATGAATTATAATTTTCAAAAAGAATTACATAAAATTATAAATAAATTATGCTACTGTTTGTCATCCAAATTAAATATTATAAGAAGCGAATCAAAAAAAACATTATGTTTTATATCCATGTATCTCGGTTTGAATTACTTTGATTTAATTATAAAGCAAATGTCTGATTATTTAACAAAAGGGTATCATATTCCTATATTTTTATGCACTGTTAACTCTATATTAGAATCTGTACTTTATGAAAAAGAAAAATTTTTGGATAGAAATTATTTAAAAATTAACTTTAATATAATAAACGAAAGTAACTTAAAAAAAAATGAACAAAATAATCTAGATCACAATAGTAAAGGGAAAAAAATAAGAATGGAAGAAAAAAATCAATATGATGATTTTTGTTCAAACATTTTTAATATGATTAAACTAGAAATAATAAATGAAATAGAGAAAAACACAGAAGATGTTAATAAAAAAAAAATTAAAAGAAAAACAAAAGAAAGCAAAAAAACATATGGAAGTAATATAATAAAACTATTAACAAATATAGTATCAGAACAATGTATAGAAAATAATATTTTAACATTTTTAGAGAGCTTATTTAGTGGTGAATCTTTTGCAAATAATGAAGTAGATAAAAATTTTATATTTAAGAAAAAATATATATTTATAATTGCGTCTTATTTTAATGATTTTATAAAAGGTATAAAGGAAAATAAAAATTTAACTTCCAACTTTATGTTAAACATCATTTACAAGCTATTGATAAAATCTGTTTATTTTTTTAAAGGAGATACATATGAAAATTTACTTGCTGTTATGAAAAATTCAGATTTGCTATTATATAAGTATGAAATGTTAAATAATGTAAATAATTTTAATAGTTTTAAAAAAAACTTGCAATTTTTTATTTCCATAAAAAGTTCACAACAAAAATATTTGGGTTATAATTATGAGTATAAATTTATTGAATATCCTCAAAAAAAAAGTAACTTGAATATAATAGAAGGGTCATTTCAAGAAAAAAATATATATGATTCAATTAACAAAACAAAAAAATATGATTTCAAAGTACATGGAGAAGTTTTAGCCAGAATGTCTTTAAAGTTATTACTATTCATAATTAAAAAATCAAATGAATTTTTCTTTAAAGAAAAAGATAAATCAGATGTTCCTTCATCAAACATAGATGAAAATTTAAATAATACAAATTATCAAATAAGTCATAGCAAAATTAATAAAAATATAAATGATTTATCAAATTATAACAAAAAAGAAATAAATGAAAATTCAATTCTAAAAACTGCAAATATTAAAAAATCAGAAGATACATCTAATAACAATTTAGGTAAAAAGGATGCAGTCGCATTAATAGATAAAATTGAATCAAAAAAAAAAGATGAATGTTCACGCTTTATTGATTTTGTTCATGTAATTGAACCATTACTTGTTTATTGTTTTTGTTATGGTAAAGGAGATGTATTTATTTTATCTTCTAAATGTATTAAAAATTTAAAAGGAAAAAAATATGCTGATTTTAAGAATTTTGGTAAATTAGTTATTTTGTCATCTATTGATATATTAAAAAATATTCCTAACTATTATAGTAAAGAATTCGACAAACTTATCTTATCATGTATTGACACCATGATTTATTTAATAAAAAATAATAATAAAAGTGATATTATGTCTTGGTTAAATTCAGATGTTTTAAATGATATTAGTAATAATTCTAATAATAATATTCAAAAGAATAAGAGAAAAATAGAAAGTAGTGATGAAAATAAAATAAAAAATCTTAAACGACAAAAAAAATTAAATTATTTATTAGATGAAAATGTACTTTCTGAATGCTATAATGATAAGGATAATGAGTTAAACGAAGAATATACATGTTCATTAAGATATTGTTTAATAAATCAAATATCATTACTTCTAGATAGTAAAAATCATGTATGGGAGTTGTTAACATTATTCAAAAATTGTATATTACGAGAAGATATAAATAATATTATTAAAGATGGGACAATTTTTTTGAAAATCAATAGTTGCATAGATCAAATTTTTATAATAATGATTGAAGAATCACATAACTTCAAATTATCTTTTTTATGTGGTCAGATTTATATTGATTTTTTGATGAAATTCCCTTTATCAAAAAAAGAAAAAAGGAAAAAATTTTTTGCCATATTAAATAACTTAAATGATGAAAATGAAGATTCTAGGATTGCTATTTTAAACACTATATATATATTTTTAAATAGAACTAACGCGAAATTACTAAAAGAAGAATTTTATTTCATTACTTTTGCTAGTTTGTTAACTAATTTTTCTAATGAGAATAATTTCAAATGTAAAAAAATGTATGTATTCCTCATATCATTATTATTTCAACAAGTAAATGATTTAAATTATATTTTTAATTCATATAAAATTTTAAAAGATAATTTGTCATTTAGCACAAAAGCTTCTTTCGCATATTCATTCTTATATTTATTGCCTATATTTACTTCCTTTTTTTATAATAAAATTCCTGTTTATTATAAAATAATTCTAAATGAAATATCAAATAAAAATGAACAGTATATATCAAAAGATGATCAAAAAAACATAAAAGATAAAATAACTCAAATTTGTGTAGAAGAAAAAAATTATATAAAATATAATGGAGAAAACGGAAATATTTCTTTTCAAGAAAATTCCAAAAATCAATTTGACACTATTCGTAATCATTTTGTATGTGAATTATTAAATTATTGTAACAATAAAAGTAAAAAGAAAAATATGAATGAAGAAAAAAAAAAAAAAAATCTCAATAAAAACGAATTTGATTTTGTACAAGATAAGATTGTTTTTATGCAGAACCAGTTAGAAGACTTATTTTTATCATTAATGACTCATTTAATTGATGAATATTTTTCAAATATAAAAACTGTTATGAAAGAAGATAAAAACATAATTAATATATTTACTTCCATTGAAAATATTACATATTTCTGTAGTAAATATGATATATATAAAGAAATGAATAAGGATATTGTATATTTATTTTATAAATCATTAGAACAAATTTTTTCTTATATGGATATTAATTTAATAGAAAAATTATTACATGAAAAGTATGTTCACGAAAAGTACAAATCATTTTTTTTTAAAATTAATCAAATAACATATTCTAAAAAAATTTGTATAAATGGAAGAAATATATGTAATGAAAATATTTCTGAAAAGAATAACATAAAATGTAATGAAGAAAAAAATGAAAACGATAAATTAATAAATGATTATAAAAATTACGAAAAGCTAATTTTATATTTTTTATATTTTTGGATATTAATATTTGAAAATGGGCTTTTTAATAAAAATCCTTATATACAAATTATATCAATAAAAATAGTTTTGAATTATATTAATAAGAAAATGAAATTTGCATTTTTTCCATTATTACTAGTTAAATTATTTTCTTCCACGAAATTTATTATTAATGTAATTATTAAAAAACTTTTATCATTACTTTTAAATTCTTTTTTTCTTGAACATTTTTACATATATTATAAGGAAGTAAGCTTTTTACTTTCAGAAATATGCAAAATTTTAATTTATCATCCGTGGATAACTAATGGATATGAAGAGGATCAAAATAATGGAAATAATAAATGTATATTTCAAAATTCTATAAAATTACATCATTCAATAAAAATGAGTAATGAAGTAAATAATACTGAATTATATGAAAATCAAGAGAAAAGTAAAGTTGAAGATAACTTGTTAAAAACATCTTTATTACAAAACCATATCGTTTCTTCAAAACATGAAAATAATGAAATATATGACTCAAGTGATGATGAGGAATATAAAAAAGTGAATATCATTTTACACAATACAGAAAATATAGAAACAACAACAAATATGTGTAATTATCAAAATGATAACCAAAATACAATTAGAGAAAATATTAAAATAACTAAAGAAATATTATCATATAGCAAATTTTTTTTAATTATAGTCACACTATCACGAGCAATAAATTTACATTTAAAAAATAAAAAAAATTCATTCACAAGAATATTAACTATTTTAAATACTTATAAAAATATAATTAATGATTTTCCAGAAGAATTATGGAATTCTGAAAATGGTATAATTAGTAATGTCATAATGCCATTATATAAAATAGCATCTTTAGCTAAAAAAAGGTACATATATATATGTATATATTGTAAAATAAATTTTTAAAATAATTAGGATTTTTTTTTTTTTTTTTTAAATACATCATTAAAAATTTTCTTTTAAATTACCAGTGTATTTTATTTTTATAAAAATTTAATTTTTTTTTTTTATTTTTGTAGAGATTTTGTAGAAAATGAAAAAATTTTTGAAGACAGTACATATAAAAAATATATGTATTTATCAAGTTTTTCATGGAATATTATTTCTCTATTAGAAAACAAATTACATAATAAGAAGGACGTTTTTAATAAAGTTTTCATTCATATAAGACAAGTAATAATAACAATAATATTATATATTTATGTTCACACTTAAAAAGTATTAAGTGAAAAAATGTTATGCAAAAATATCCATAATTATTATTTTTTTTTTTTTTAATTAAATAAAACATAATTTTTATATAAAATTTGTTGTTAATGCTCAAATAAAAAAAAAAAAAATCAATAGACATTTGTTTAATGCGCATGCACACATGATTTTTTTTTTCTTCTTTTTTTTTTTTTTTTTTT